TACTTCTATAAATCGAAAGGAGACTGTGACCATACCAGAGGCCACAGCATCTTTGTCTTCATATCTTAATATATATTAGGTTGAATTGAAACGTGAGGCCTACTCATATGGCTGTGGTAAAATTTAATAATCAGTCCTCCATCACTTTGTGTGATCTCTTATGCAAAGCTATTTGGTGTTGCACAGGCAGTAACGCATTCAGAATGTCCAAATCTACTTTTGGAGGCTTTGCGTGTTGGCACAAAAACACATGTCTCCTCTTTGGTTCAAACTTGAGGTTTTTGCGAATTTCCGTGCACGCTAGTGATCCATTTCTACGGGCGCTGGAGACTACAATCAGTGCCATCAGAGGCCATCTTGAGGCTGTAACGATTAAGACAGTGATTCCCAAATTGTGCGCCGTGGCCTCTTTACAGGGGCTCCGCAAAATATTGTAAAAGCTTCAATTTGAGAAAATATGCAGTGATTTGCAGGCTCATCCATCACATTAATTATTACATATTAATTTAATGTTAATAGAGTTAAAAAATAAGGAAGATACACGAGTTTCATTTATTTTTATCTCTTACTTACGAATATGAGTATGGTGAATATCTCTCATATTACTGATTTACTGGTAGTCTTGAAACTCTACTCCAGTACGAAAATAAGTAACGTAGTCGATTGTTATAGCAAATATACGTTTGCTTCATCGGCACTCCCACCAAAGAATATGATATGGCAAAAGGCCTAACCTTCCTTGAAATTCACTTATGCCCTGTGACCCAAAGGCCCTCGTGGCAATGTGGTTGAGTGGTTAACGTATCAAGCTCCCATTCTGCACTGTCACGGTTCGACTCCCGCTGGGGGTGTTGATAGGACCAATGCGAGGTCGAAACTTCCGTCTACTTCTGCCTGGATGAGAACAACTTTTGGGAAAGCAAGGCTATGTGAAATTCAATGGAAACGTTAGCTCAACTCATATCGTTGTGGGAAAATTCTACTACCAGTCCTTCATCACCTTAAACCAATTAGGGTGAATACCTCTCATGTTACTGATTTACTGGCAGTCTCGAAACTCTACTCCATAGTCAGGGTAAGGCGGCATGGAAAAATTCTAATTGAAAAATGGCGCCGCGACTAGGAAAAGTTAGGGAACCGCTGGATTAAGAGAAGATTGATCCTTAAGGCTAGCGGAGCTCGTGGATACGGGCAGAAGGGGGTTGAACTAAAATTGTGGTGATGGGATCAGAGAGGGAGGAGTCGAGCCAACGAGGCGAGTAACGAAGCCAGGCTGTCTTGGACTTAAACGTTCTTGGTGGACAAGAGGAGCAAGAAGCGGGTGATACAGATAATGACGGCGTTGACCACAGCCTCGATTGCCCAACCCGAGGGAGGTAGAGAGCTTAGCATCTCTCGGATCAAAGGGATAAAGTCGAGTACTCCCTTTGCTCGGCCCCACTGGGTTCGCCCGGGAGCCACGTGATAGCAGCGTCGTGTGCAGGTGGTTGGACGAACCAGCGAAAGGAGGCGGAGCCAGTGCCCGAGGGCAAATGAACACAACGCCTGAATCCGTCCAGTCTGCAGCCCAGCCTGTTGTCTTGTCGACGATTTCAGACTCACAAAAGCCCTACTAACTGATCCCGACATTAATCATCTTCTAGCCCCTCCTTCTCCTCCTCCTCCTCTACGTCCTCCCCCTCCTCCTCTTATGCCCCCAGCCCTCATGCCGCACACATGCAGTCTCGTTTTCACGGACGAGACAAGTCTGTCTAGCCGATGGCGAAATCCGCCCCGTCGATTACTTCCAAATGAATGGAGCCATGCCAGAAGCAGCACCGGTAGCATGGGTTGGAGAGTGGGGAAGAACTAGAACATGCGACCGCCAGGCAGAGAGGAGGAGACAGCCATCCGAAGAGGTATTGCTCAATTGAGCATGACATTTGTCCCGTTCTACTGATGCCCACATGCCATACAGCAGACAGAAGCTGAAGCCGATTCCATTTAGGTGAACCCAAACAGTGAACTCTCGTTCTAGACGCTCCAATCACACGAACACAAATGCACGCATCTCAAATCTCTATTTGAATAGCTTTGTCCATTCTCGTCATGGGTGCAGAGACTTCGGTAGGGCTAAAACCATTCGAGTCTGCAAGAAGCACTTTTCGTGCCAGTGTCACATTCATGCAAATGGACATTCGCTGGACAAGGAATGGACCATAATGATTCATGCTATTCTTCACTGTTATTCCCCTTAAAAGTGTACGCTATAGAGGTCCATAGGACAGTCTCTCTATAAGTCGACGATGGTTTCTATGTGATCTGCTGTTGTTTGTATTTACTGACAAGTTTGGTACGACGCAGTCCCTTCATTTCCGGTGGCAAAGGGCTAACCAGTTTCCACAATAGCTTAATCTCTTTTTCGCCTCACGATCTGCAAATATACCTTCCCTCTCGACTCAGTCCTGTACATCTGTTGTCCTCTAGCGAGTTCTTACTATTGCCTTTGGGATACAAATTTATCCGGTTCTCTTAATCATTCGGAGTACGTAGTGTTATTTCGATACAGCAGCACCTAGAAAATACTCT